TCAATAGAAGCCTAACTTTTATGGACTCAGGATTACTGCTAATCTTGGACTCCCAGTAAGATTAGGATAAACTCTCTAAGAGTCTTATCTTAATACAAACTGAAGTCTTCTCTTATTCTAGGACTCTTGTCCTTCATCCAGGTTGAGTTCCCTTTTCATTCTAGGACTCTTGTCCCTTATCCACTTATCTCGGATTTTGGTATCTTCGAAGATAACCTCGGCCTTGTCGAGATCACCTCGGCGTCACGACCAGGACACGTGGCACCTCGGCTGACACGTCGGCGTCACCTTGCCACGTGTTGGTACTCAGAAAATATATCCCACAACTGCCCCCTAGGTTCTATTACCTCGGCATTTTGAGGTGATGGAACCTACACTGTTCGTTCATCTGTGCCTCTCTGTCCGAGATCAAACTCGCCGACCTCAAAGTTCCCTGGACCTTACTGTCCACTTGTGTCAAGTATCAAGATTCATGTCTTTCAGGCTACTTGAGATCACAGCTCCTAGCCGAGGTTTATGGTTCCATCAATTCGTAAACTCCAGAAGCTTTGCAACTGCGTATGAGCTACCATGCATACGCTCCTCAACCGTTTTGTTCATACGTTCATCTCTTACTTGCTTGTACGCGCTTATCAGGTTTGCGTCGTTTCTGCGTACGCTGCCAGACAGGTACGTCACCCAAGGTACAATTCCTTTGTCACCTTTTTTGAGTTTTCAACAAAGCTTTCGCTCGTTCCCTTTGTCTTCTCATTTTGCATTCATTCATGTTCTTTCTATGCTAAAACTTTTCTCTTTTCAAAAAAATATCCCTAATCCTTCATTGATCTCTTTTCAAGCTTTCTGCAACTGCTCCGTTCACACTCTCCGGTGGGTTTCCTGATTTCCAGTCATCTATTTGACTCTGGCGATCTTTATATCGGCGTTCATTTGGTAGGTTCATAAATTCTTACTTTTTTATTAAGCTCAATCTTTCATAACTTTTCTGATTTACTTTGAATCTGTTTATTTTCCATCTATGGCCTTCTGTTCTCGTCTGTCTTCAAGTTTTTGATTTCTTATTGCTAAAATGCCTGGAACTGTTCTTGTCATATCCACTTTCTGTTGCTAGCATCATGTTTGGGTCATTACTTTCTTGTTTTTCACATAATTATTAGTGCCTGTGCACTTGGCTTTATTCTTGAACTTTGTCGCCTTCTTGACTATTTTTCTCTTTTTTCATTCAATCCTCTAGCTTTTTCTCTTTCTGGTAAACTACTGTTCCTCCTGGTTTTATTTCTTGTTGCTTTCCAAGAAGCTCTGCTTCATTGTTAATCATCATTGCTGTTTTACCCGTTATTTCCAAATCATCTTATTGAATACACACTGTTCATACATCTGTTGATTTCTGCCACTATTCTTGGATGGACACTCTTGTGCAATCTTTTTGTCTTGATTTCCTGATAGCTTCATCACCATTCTTTATTACGAATTACATTCTTGTTTCTGTTTTCTATGTCTTTTTCCAGATTCTTGCCTTCGTTTCTGTTTTCTGCATTGTCTTAGAACCACGTCCCTTCTTGAAATTGTTGCCGAGATAATGGTAGAGAAGCTCTCCCAGCTGACTGCCAATGCTGAACCACCGTCAACTGTTGTAGTAGATTAGTCCGACGTTTTTACCCTAGTCCCTAGTTCTTAGGGTCTTCATCTTTGTACTTTTGTTTTCTTTGCATATGTAATTTTTTTTTTTTTGCTTCTGAAAAATGTCTATTTGTTGGCCGATGTTAACATTCCTTGCTCCTTGATTATCATTCCTTCTTCCACTGTATTTGGTAGCTATGTCGGGTAATTGACTTCTCGGATGGCCTTGGGCTCCAGAAGTCTGTCTACTTCTTCCTCTACTGCTTCGACGTGCATCAACGTTGGTCCTCTTGCTCATTGGATTACAGGTTTGGCCGACCTGTCGATGTTGAGTTGGTGGCAAGTGACCTCGGGGTCAATGCCAGGCATTTCGTAAGGTGTCCAAGCAAATACCTCAATGTTTGTTCTCAAAAAAGCTTCCAATTCCCTTTCTTCTTCTTTGGCTAAGCCTAAGCCGAGAAGAAAGAAGTGTTCTTCATTCCCCTCATGGACGAGGATTTTCAGTGCCTCTTCACTCCTCTCGGCTGGCTCCTTGCCGACATCATCTAGGACTTCTATGTCCTCGTTTTTAATCTCTGCCTTCTCTGGTTCTCGAATGCTGCAAGTGGATTTCATTGCTGCCATGGAGCAATTCTCCGCCTGCAGTTGATCCCCTCTGACTTCTTCAATCCTATGTTCTGTTGGGAACCGCAGTAGTTGATGCAACGTTGAGGGAACTGCCCCCATTGCATGCAACCATGGCCTTCCCAAGATGATATTGTATGGCGAGGACGTGCCAATCACCATGAATTCTGTCTTGATCTTCTTCTAACTGCTCTAGCATGATTCTATACTTAGAATATTTTGCATATCTTATGTACTTTTCCTTCTTTGTGCAATCTTCTCGGGGTGACACACCTTGGTTATGCCACCTGACGTTTTACTTCGGCAAGTACTTGTCCTGTAAATTGCTTACAAATTTCAACAAGGATAAACATATACTAGTTTAATCTCAATTTCGTAAACTTTTCTTAAGTTATAACAAGTGCTAAACAATGATCTACTTGTAAATTGCTACAAATTTCCACGAGTGTTAAACAATATATATCGGCTTAACTTCAACTTGTAAATTGCTACAAATTTCAACAAGTGAAGGTAAACAATTATCTCGACTTAACTTCAACTTGTAAATTGCTACAAATTTCAACAAGTGTTAAGCATTACTTCGGTTTAACTTTAACTTGTAAATTGCTACAAATTTCAACAAGTGAAGATAAATAATTATCTCGGCTTAACTTCAACTTGTAAATTGTTACAAATTTCAACAAGTGAAGATAAACAATGATCTCGGTTTAACTTCAACTTGTAAATTGCTACAAATTTTAACAAGTGAAGGTAAACAATGATCTCGGCTTAATTTCAACCTGTAAATTGCTACAAATTTCAACAAGTGAAGGTAAACAATGATCTTGGCTTAACTTCAACTTGTAAATTGTTACAAATTTCAACAAGCGTTAAACGCATTCTTCTTCTCTCTGCCCCCCAGTGTGAACTTAAAATCCACTTGGGTTCTCATCATACATATAGCTTCGACCTTGTCGCCGAGGTTTAATTCAAGCCGAGGTTGTCGGCCTTGGTTTCTCTATTGATCTTACTTCGCTCCAACCTGAGTTTGATTTTTCGACCTCGCATCGGCGAGCCGTTTCTCTTTTCTTGTTCCAACGCCTTTGTTCCTGGCATGTCTTCCTCGGCCCTAGTATACTTCTTAATTTTGGCAAACTTTAGTCTGATCTTGTGTGTTTCCTTTTTATCTTCTGGGATCTGAGATCTGCTCATTGTGCTCTTCTATTCTCGGACTCAGGTCCTGAGATCTTATCTTTTGGAATCTTGGATCTGCTCACTCAGGTTGAGCTCTTCTTTTCTCGGACCTACTCATCTAGGCCGAGATCATGTTTTTTGGGATCTGGGATCCAGGATTTGCTCACTCAGGTTGAGCTCTTTTATACTTGAATGTTATCTCCTTGGGAGCGCTCATGCCCCCCTGTCTTTGCATCCCTTCTGGAATGGTCTTCGTTCCTCCGCATGTATCTATCCTTCCATATCTGGAGGTCATCTTCGTTGTAGTATCCGCTTCGATCTGTTGTCTTTGGTGCGTTACCTTCCTGGCCAGCGTCTTTCACTCCGCGACTCTGGTCACGAGTTTCTGTGTTGCGGTCGTCCTTCAACGTCGAGATCGATAGGTCTCCCACTCCCAGCAGGAGCGTTGTCTCTAATCTGATCCTTCTATCCGTCATTGGCCATCTAGTCTTCTTTCTTTCCCACAGACGGCGCCAAATTGTGTGAGTGATTTTCTGATCACACTGCCCGCTTAGTAACCAGCTGGAGAGCACCGACAGAATAGATGACACCTGGCTGACCTGCAACAGAAAGAGAAGATTCCGGCGGTGGTTCTTCCACCCGGGGGCACTCCGATGATCAAGTCAGTATATCTCTCAAAGATAAATCAATTATCCAACTCACAAGTTTGAGTATCAAAAAGCATAAAATTGCGTACCTTAGACTCACGGAGGTGCCTTTCTTTTATAGCCAACATAAACCTAGTCCCAATAGAAGTCTAACTTCTATAGACTCAGGATTACTGCTAATCTTGGACTCCCAGTGAGATTAGGATAAACTCTCTAAGAGTCTTATTTTAATACAAACTGAAGTCTTTTCTTATTCTAGGACTCTTGTCCCTCATCCAGGTTGAGTTCCCTTTTCATTCTAGGACTCTTATCTCTTATACATTTATCTCGGATTCCGATATCTTCGGAGATAACCTCGACCTTGCCGAGATCACCTTGGCGTCACGACCATGACACGTGGCACCTCGGCTAACACGTCGGCGTCACCTTGCCGCGTGTTGGTACTCAGAAAATATATCCCCATACAAACTATGAAATATAATTGGCTTAGTTCTCGTTTGGTTTTTGTTTTAGGGCTAAAAAAATATAAAATAAAACAAAATATCATATTTAAATCATAATTATTATATTTTTTTTTCAAAAAAATAAAAAAAAAATCTAAAAATAAAAACCAAACAATAATAAAAAAGTCAGCCTAAAAAAATCCAAATATAAAAAGTTAGCTACTGTAGCCAATGCCAAACGAAGCTTTGGCCTTTTTTGAGAAGTTGGTTATTTTAATTTTTTGACTATTTTAATAGACTAAAATTTTATATTTGAAAAGATAATTAAATTTTCTGATAATTTGATGTAATTTTTGTGAAAAAAAAAATTATAAATTTAATATAATATTTTATATTATTAACTATTTTAACTTATTTAACCTTTTATAAAATTAAACCTGAAAAGTCCAATTTTAGCCTTTAAAAGGCCTTTATTAAATGGAATCATGCATTGAAAAATTCGATTTTCATTAGCGAGGGAAACGGATTCCTTTTCCATTTTCGTTTTCAAAACATTTTTGGTTGTTGATAAGAGAGCGGTCGAGCTTCCTGGTGACTCTGTCTTTAATTTTTTCATATTCCAAAGAACACCAATCCAAACCCTAATGTTTGGGACCTGAACTCAAGCCCTATAACAAGAAGAAGAAGAGATTTGCTTGCCTATTGCTATGTCAGACTTTTTTCCAGACGAAATCATGGTTGAAATCCTCCAGAGACTACCCGCCAAATCCCTAATCAAATTCAGGTCTGTTTCCAAATCCTGGTGCTCTCTCATCACAAACCCTGATTTCATCAATACCCACCTCACTCAGTCACTCACTTCCAATACATACAAAAACAGCTATGATAATCTCCCACTCATGATAGTTAGGCAATGCGTATCCACTACCCATACCAGAACAGAGCACTACAAACTATTTATTGATTCCGAAGACTCATTTGATGAATATAAAGAACTTGAATTCCCAATAAAGAGTCGTCGTCTCCACTTTTTTTTCGCAATTGGGTCTGTAAAAGGTTTGTTTTGTCTTCACGAACAAGATCGGTATTTTCTTTGGAACCCATCTATTAGAAAGTCCATGGCTATGCCCAAGCCTACTGTCAAGACCTCTATGCATTCTCATGGGTTTGGATTTGATCCACGGACCAACGATTATAAATTGGTTAGAATAGCGGACTTTTATCCAACTAAATTGCCCAATCAGAAGCCAACTACACACATTGAGGTGTACTCCCTTAATGCAGGCTCCTGGCAAATGTCTAGCACGGGGAGAAACTCTTATCCGGATGGGATTACTATAGATTATTCAAGCCGATTCGCTGCTTATTTAGAAGGGGCTGTTCATTTTGCTGCGAAAATGAAGAAGTCCAATGATCCGTTGATTTTGTCATTTGATTTGTGTGATGAGGTGTTTCAAACAATGATGTTACCAGATGGTGTTGTAGCCCCGAGAACTGAGGTCCGGGCTTCAGTATTTGGGGGATTGCTTTCTCTGTTATGTTACGAAGATAGTGCTGTGTACAAGTCTTGTTCCATTTGGATAATGAAAAAGTACGGTGTAGTTGATTCTTTGTATAAGCAGTTCACAATTGATCTAAGCAGAGGAATTACACAGGTATTAGGTATACGGAATAATGGTCATATATTATTGGAGACAAAAGCACCAAGTGATTGGGTGCTTTCTTCATATGACCCTTTGAGCCAACAAACTAAGAATTTGGGAATTTATGCTACTTCAAACCATTTTGTTGTTGATACTTACGAGGAGAACCTAATCTTACTCAACAAACCAAATGATGCATTTTCTAGAAGGCGAGTGAGCAGGAAGAGGACAGACAGGTAAAAGCTTGATTCAACTCAAATTTCAAATTATACTTTTCCCAGTTTTATCTTACTCGTAGTATAAATATACCACTAGACTTGGTTGCCTGCCTATATGTCAAATCTTAATATTCTGGTTTTGGATGTTAAATTGTTCTGGGATGCCATGAAGACTGGTCAGCATTGTTCAATACTGTTTTGTGGTGGTAGTGATTGATAATGTGATTAAACATTAGCTAGTAAAAAACGGTGGAAAATAGATTGTGTTGATGTTATGTAGTTACAGTTTTTATATGCTGAACTTGTAACATCTAATCCATATTCAATCTGGAGATGGCTTTGACTCTTTTCATTCTGGTAAGACTTGCTAAGATTACTTTTTGACATGATGTAATTACCTTGTGGTACCTTGTTTCTTATACATGCCATATTATATTCCATTATTTTCTTTTTGGCAAAAGGCCTTGTACTCTTTGGTTGTGTGTGATTGCGGCTGTTTGTAGGATGATTTGGATAGAGAGAAGCAACAAAATCTTTGAAGATAAAGATGAGAAAATGGAGTATTTACGGGAGAGGGTTAAGTTCGTAGCTTCATTGCAAGCTTTGGCCACTAAGGAATTTCAATATTATCCTTTCTTTGTAATTTTTGTTTTGTGGAATTTATTTCTTATCTTTGTTTCATTTATATCATTGGACTTATGTTACTTGGAATGTGGATCATTCCGGTACGTTGAACGGGAATGGGAACTTGGTATGCTACATGTTTTAAAATGTGAAATGATAGGGTTAAATTTGTATATATTACAATTAAGAATTTAAGGGCACTTCTAGAGTAAATTTTTTTTAACTATTAGGCATCCAATAAATAATTATATATATATATATATATATTTTTTTGATGTTTTTTTTCTTATCAGAACTTAACTCACCTTAGATTTGTGTTCATTATATTTGATTTTTTTCTCTCATAAAAGATAACATTTAAGGAAATATATTAGAAATAATTTTGGCATTACTTCGGGTCACTAAATTTATTTTTGTGGAACAGAAGTCTATCATGTTTTGGAATATGTGTACTAATACGTAATTCGTTAGGGTATTTGTGTTTTCTCGTAACACTATTGAACTGTTTGTCCAACAAAATTGTTTATCACTTTTTCCTTTATTGACTAAAACTTTGTTTCTTATAAAAAGAAAAAGGAAGACAAATTTTGTTAATATGAAAGGATAATTACATACATTGTTGGTTGATAAGAAGTCCTACCTAATAATGATTAAACTATGAGACAAAAACCAGCAAAAGAACAATTATGACAAAATAAACTACAAACCACACTCCAATCCTAATGATGCTTCTCATTACCTTAAATTAAACATAAGAATTTAAAATTTTATTTATCAAAAAGTAAACAAGTAAATACAACTGTTAGTGAATGTGGTGATAAATGGAACAGTAGTCACTTATGTATGGTTATATATCCTTGTTCTTATTTGTTTCTTGGTGAAGGTTAGATTGACATGTTGATTTTCACACCTGGCTATGGAATTGTTATCAAGTTGATGGAATTTTTATCAATATGAATTGATAACTTGTGAATATAATTTTGTGGTTTCTAGGGACCAAGGTTCTCAAGCACGAATAGAGGCACTTAAGACTGATATTCAAAGGCGGAGAAATGAAGTTGACCTCCATTTAAAAGAGATAAAGGAAAAGGTAGAGGAAGCAAAAGAGGCTGTAGCAAAAATGGGGCCTCAACGACAGGCTGAGGTCTATGCCAAATTCCAGACTATTTTTTTGCAAATGCAACCCATTGATTTTTCAAGCAATGTAAGTTTCTTACAACTTCCATTTTACTTATGGATATTTTTTATGACAAGTTAACTAATGGATATACAAGAAAAGTAGGTTCATGATAATGGGTATTAAGGAACCTTAGAAAAAACCATCCACTTGCGCGAATAGTATGGAATTGGCATTAACATTTTGTTTTTGCAGAATGAGTGGGATTAACACTTGGATGCTAGAGAAACATATTTGTAGGAAACGATGTCGCTCAAAACTTGTTTGGGATGTTGAAAAAAAAATATTTTTATTATTTTGTGAGTTTTTTCTTGCATGTAATGGTGATTACTACGGTGTTTAGCTGCAAGTTATGCAGAGTAATGTAGTAAAGAGTCAAATTGCTACTTCATATGAACCGAACCATTTTGAACATGGCCCGAAGCATGTTAAAGAGTCAAATTGCTAATTCATATGACTTAGGGTCTCATGAGTGATGAAGTGCCAGTGGCTCACAGCTGGAGTGCTCGGCCACCATATGTATATATTTTTCCGATCAACATGTGGTCTCTTTTGTTACGATGTGTGTGTTGATCACACAGCTGAGACACTATTGTCATTGATGCTGGCCCACCATGGCCTTTGCCAAAGAGTAAATGCTGAAGCCTTTTTCCTCTTTTTTTCTCATTGCGCCAAGAATACTTTTAATTCATGCTGACACTGTGTATCTAAAGCTGGGCCCACACATTGAAATGATATCCTCTCTTCACTTGGCTTAGTTTTCATCTAAACCAGGCAAATTGTGTTTCCAAGAGTCTGGCCCACCTTTTTCTCATGAACTCCACTTTAATTAATCCTGATAATGTAAATTAAACTCTAGAACACAATTAAGCATAAATAGTGGGGATTAACATTAAACGAATGTGACTTTGCTTTGCCTACATAATAAATCAATATAATTATTCAATTTTCCGCTTTCATCAGTCATTGTGTGATACTTTTGATGTTTCTAATATATTTTTTCAGGAACAAATTGATTCGACAAGGCTCACTGCCACTTCTCAAAGTTCCGCAGTGGATGATTGTGATGTGGCTGCTGAGAAATGGAGCCACAGTCGTGTCCTTGGCAGGGGTGTGGGCATCAAGGGCAAAGATTTGAATGGCTGCACTTCCTCAGGTCAAGTCAAGGATTGTATGAGGCATGAGGCAGAAGAGTTAATAAAATTGAAGACTGAAGGAACTGAAATGCTGAAGCAGTTGTCTGAGATGAAGGATCAATTATTGCAGACCTATGGCAAACCATTCATCCCTACAGTGCAGGCGTCTACTAATGCACAGCCATGATCCAGGTACAATCCACAGCTTACTAAAAAATTCTATTGAATTGTGTAATTTGGGTTATTACTATAGCTATGAGTTCATTTGTTTTTAGTGTTGTTCAAGTTGGAAACGCTATGTTTTTAGTATATCTTGTTAGATAAAATCAACGGTGGTGCTAGAGACCACTAATTTAGTGGCTCTAAACCCACCACTAATGAGGTGGCGAAGCAAAAAAAAAAAAAAAAAAAAAAAAAAACAAACAAACAAACAAACAAACACAATACAAACTGTGGCAGTGGGTGGGACCCACTGTCACATCACTAGTGGTAGCTCTAATTAAAGCTCCCACTCATTTCCCTAAAATCAATATGTTGAAGAGTTCAGATAAAGTGTTTCTTATTGGCAAAATTATCTCAGATTTTTGCTGTAGTATATACTTTCATGGATAGATATACTTGTATCATCTTTTAGTTGTCTTACATTTGCTACAATTATTCAATAGCTCAACTAGATGTTAGTTTTAATGTTTTATTTTTTTTTTTTTAAAATGTTGTCGTTGTTGTTGGTGTATGTTTTATGGGTTTCTCTTGATGGTGGTAGGAGTGATGGGTTGTTATTGTTGCTTGAGGTGTTAGTGTCAGATATTTTGTTTTTAAAAATAAGGACTTGTCAATAGAGCAAAAAGGTGATTGAGTTGCCAAATTGCTCTAAAGAAAGTGGAGCAATTAAAAAAAATTGATGTTTGCTTGAAAGTTTGCAGACCGCCAACTGAACATAATTATTTATCACCCCTGCTGCCCAACCAAATTAATTATAATGGAAAGTTCCCAGGAATTTTGGCCCGTTCCAAGAAATTTAATTGGGGAACCAAATTCAAACATTTCAGAAATATCCAGATTTATTTTGAAAAGTTTTATAATCATGAATAAGCATGCTAATTTTATATTCCTTAACCTGATTTGTCCATCATGTGTGACCTCTCTATAATCCCAAATTTTCTTGGCTGATTCACATGTAGAGATTGTATTGACTTCATTATGATCTGAAGCATGATATACGAGGTTTTTTTTTTTTGGGTGATAAATAAGCAAATTTATTAGAAAAGCATCAAGATAATGTAAAAAATTACAAAATTCAAACGCCCTAGCAAAAAAATGCTAAGCTATCAAGTCCACAAAATCTACATAAGTTAAAACATCTGGATCAACCAACCTTGTAACCCAATTATATAACACCAAAAACAGTCGCTTCTCCAAGCCAAGAAATCGAATGAGACACTCATTGGAAGACATGCCTGTTATGCTCCAATCAAATAAGCCACATTAAACAGTGAGACGCAATCATCCATGTCTTTTGACGTCTTCTCTCAACCTTGCCCCCAGCCCAACTTTGCGAGATTGCCAACATTGAACCTGGCTGAACCTAAACCAAACCAAAAATTGCCACAGTAAGCATCCAAAGCTGAGATGTGACTGGGCAATGAACAAGCAAATGATTTACCGACTCAGCATCACCACAACACAAACAACACCAATTCCCTAGTATATGGCCATGATGAATTAGATTATCAATTGTCAGAATACGTCCTAAGGTCGCTGTCCACACAAAGAAAGCTACCTTGGATGGTGTGCCTGACATCTAGACACATTTCTAAGGAAACGAAATCGCATCAACATGAACAAGCACACTATAGTACGAAGACACCAAAAATAGCCCCTTAGAGCGTGGACAGCCCCAAACCATAGAATCCTCCCCTGCACTCCTACCTTGCAACTCGTAAAAGAAACCCAATAGCTCCACTAACTGATCCACCTCTCAATCTTGAACTTCATGATGCAGTCGCACGTTCCAAACCACTGCCTGTCCTTGTCTCGTTTGAACTGCCCCCACCATAACCTCAGAATCTTTTGCAATTCCAAACATCGAAGGAAATAGCTACTCTAAAGAAGTATCCCCACACCACTTATCATGCCAAAAACAGACTCTATCTCCTAGCCCAACCTTCAGTTGAATCCTCTGCCAAAACTCCTCCCAGCCCAACCCAACCCAGTTCCTTTCCAGACACCACAACCATGAGGTTACGAGGTTTATGGCCTCGACATTGATTTTGAACAAGTTTCATGTCGTTCTTTTCCCACTCATGTTCTTCCTTGGCCATGATTTGCTCATGGATGGTGTTGGACGGTACTTTGGGGCCAATAACTTTGACACTCCACAACTTATAGTCTATGGTTTGAATGAAAATTTTCAATCTCACCTTCCAATAGGTGTAGTTGGTGCTATTAAACAATGGCAGTGGTGTAGTAGTCAATTGGTCTGCCGCATAAGAAGTCCCAATAGTGGTTGCTATAATTTACTCTTAGACAATTGAGTCAAAATCAAGAGTCGAATCTCTTAACCTGGTGGACAACCCAAGAAAAGGGTGAATTGGGTTTGTAAAAATTTAAAACTCAACACAAATAACGCAAACCCAAAAAACTTAATTGTGATGAATAATCAAAATGATAATATATATACTAAAAGAAAAGATCAATCTTAAGAGTGCAAGTGTGTGGGGGTGTGCTCAAATGATGTGAAAGCAACATATCAAGGTATTGTAAAAATTCATATGGATGCTTTCTGGTATACGTGATCGAAGTATTCTGTAATGAGTTATTTAGCATTTGAATGTACAACTAATAAATGTCACATCTTGTCACGACCCAAACCCGCTCTTATAAATTTGGCGTCGTAACCGGCCAGTAATTCGAGATTACCAAAGGCTTTCCTTTATAATAAAAAATAATCGAAGCTAGTGGAAGCAATATATAAAAACATCAATAGTTCAATGAGCTGTGCATCTATATGAACAAATATTTACATGCAAAAATATTAATTTACTCACATTCAGTACATAACTTATAACTTAACATCTTATACATAACGTATGCACATAACAAAAGTGCACTTTACAATCAAAAGCCTAACAACGGCCTTTCAGGCCTAGCCCCAACTCAGAGGCACACAACAATTCGGTAGGTGTAACGCCCTCAAAATAATAACATTAAACCCATCAATTAAGACATTCATTAACATATGAAATAACCACATTCTTCTATTCATCAGAGTTTGATTACAAAAGTATCACATGTTAACAATAAAAGCAAAATGCCTTACGGGCTTACAGCTTTCCAAGTTAACACTTGGTTACAACAAAAGAGTACTAACTCATTTACACCTTAAGCCCTTGGCTTGAATTTACATGTAATACATCAAAAGTAAAACGACAAAAGTATGTCCGCCTCTAGCCTCCCAAGCTATGTCCTTGGAGGTGGCATGCTACCTGTACCTGAAAATGATGTTCCCATATAGGGTGAGCCACAGCCCAGTAGAAATACACTAAACCAAATATGAACAATAACTAAAATATTAGCAGTTGATAGTTGGTCCACACTGATTCTTTCCTTTATCACACTTTACATTTTCATGACATACAAGTCCATGGTACAACTCATTTTCCAATTTCTTTCAATTCTCAAATTTCAACCATGGCTCAGAACCTGGCCAAACAACTCATATGAGACAATAACTCATATAAAACACTTCCCATATCATATTAGATAAGCATACGAGCTATATCACACAACAACAGATAAGCATACAAGCTATATCATTACTTCCACAGATATGCATATGAGCACTATCATACTTCCAATGACAAGCATATGAGCTCTGTCAACACAATAATAGATAAGCATATGAGCTCTATCTATGGAGTCCATCCCTTATCTCCTCCCAACACATCCGGTTTAGAGGTCCATCCCCTATCTTCCCCTAAACCGTGGAGTACATCCCCTATCTCCTCCAACACAACATAATGCATATAAACAACAATTATACACATCATCACACAATACATAAATTTAATGTATTCTTTCAATCGTTAATCTCAATGACACATTCGAGTGATTAGTTTCAGTTTGCCTAATCATCATGCATTGTCTACAACAATCACGACTATCGTCCACCGATAGCCCAAAGCAGTTATTTCTAAACAGAAAATAAATGCACAAATGGATATTTAATCAACATTTCATTTCGGTGAGTGATAAATAATTCAACTACACCCTTTAACCCCATACTTTCCCAATCTCTACATTTCCACTTCATTTCCTCATTTCTCACAATTAATTATCCCAATTAATCAAACGGTGTAATTAGGTCATTTTCCATAATTACCATTTTAACCCTTAGGTTCCATTTTCATCAATGATTCAACATTTATTTCACTTCTCTACGACAAACATGCATTTAGGTTTATTATAAATAAAACCCCAACTTTTGTAAAAATAACACAAGAGCCCCAAACTTTTACAAAATTACCAAACCAACCCCAACATCTTAAAATACTAAAATTTAGAGACAAAATCCATAAAGAGGAGTAGGATATCCCTACCTCAAATTCGGAGCCTCAAAGGAGAAGATGACAAAACCCAACGTGCTCCAAAACTCGAAATTTTCAGATTAAAATGTAGTCCTCGACGATCAACAACCTTTTTGTAAAGGCCAAAGATGAGCAAATCACTCCTACTAGATCAAAACCTAGAGAGAAGGTAGTATCTAGAGAGAGAGGCTCACCAATGGTGTTTTTGGAAAAGTAGGAGAGAGAAGAGAGTGAAAAAGTGATTTGAAAAGTCAAAACACGGAACTTAAACCCAGTTGACCCGCTCGAGCGTAAAACACCCCGTACGAGCGTCACTCACAGATTCCCGCTCGAGCGCCAACAATCCCGCTCGAGCGGCGAATACACAGTCCCAGAACTTTTACAGAACCAGGTCTCCGCTTGAGCTTCCAACTCTCCGCTCGAGCGTCACTCACACAATCCCGCTCGAGCGGCCAATCCCACGCTCGAGCGTCCAACACTGCATAGGAAATACTGGATGGGTGCAATTTCCGCTCGAGCGCCAAAACCCCCGCTCGAGCGGACAGGTTAAAATCTGGGCAATTAGTTTTGGTTTCTAAACTCAACCAACCTGTAACAAACCTGCCCAACACATCCCATAACTCAAATACCAAATAAGAAAGGATGTAAACAAGATAATAAACAACTACCAGCATCCACGGACACATGTCCGGATCACTGTATAACAAGGGTAAACCCGGGATCGCTATAGTAGGTTTCAAAACGGTGGCTTATCTAAAGAACCCTTCTAGGCTCTAGAACACTCACCTATTCATATATATAAAAACAGTGAGGTAAAGTCCAGTGAATAGCATTAAAGTAAAGGGGTTAGTGAACGAATTTCAAATATATCATATTCGTAAAACAAATCATGACACAATCATTCATATTAGTTTCATATCAGAACATAACATAATGGTACATTTCATAGAACATATCACATATCGTCTTCCGACTAAAGTAATCGGTTTCGGATACCGTTTAAACACATATCACCACAATGATGTGGCTAACGAGATCTCGTAATCACATATATGTCGTGGATCCGCATTAACATGCCGTCCTCCATGACTTGGGACTATCTATGGATGTCATAATAGATTTCAAACATAGGACATTCGTTCATGTAAACAAACATCATTTTAGAAATCATAACTTATCAAATCACATTTGAAACATAATTCATATGAACATATCTTTATAATAACGTTACTTACAGTGAGTTTCCAAAACGGTTGGTCATGTAGTCCTTGACTCGTGACCTACAATCACAAATATGCATAGCACGAAACATAATCATCTTAAACATATTTAGTTCACTTAAGCTTTTAAATATAGATGACTAGAATTATGAATTAATTAGATTATTAATTTCCTTTAATCTTTAATTAAACATTGTTTAGCCATGTATTAACCAAATTAATTAAATATAAATAATCTAATCATAAACCAATCCTTATTAAGTTCACTAATTATACAATCAAGTTTAAATTAGGCTTATACACATTAAATTATAATTATTCAGTCATGTTTAAATTACTGAATCAGAAATTCATAAATATGCACATTTTGCAATTTCAACTCCATTTTCAAGCAAATCAAGGCTCAATTAATTAATCTTCACATTTATTTCCATAATCTTGAACCGAACTCAATTTCAATTGAATTTAATTAATTCTCAATTAAGGCTTAATTTGACTACATTTAATTTTATGAACCTAAATCAAATTTTTAATTGAATTCTTATAAAACTCCAAATATCAAATTAAACCTATTTTTTTCATTTTTGAAACTCAATTTAGGCGCTGTTTGGGAAGTGGCTAAAGAGGCTATTATAGCCTAAAATGAAAATTTAGCCAAAAAGCCCACTGTTGAAAGCTTTTTCAAAAAAAAAAAAAATAGGCTGCACAGCCGGCAGTGTAGGCACAGCCTACACTGTCAGCTACAGAAATTCTTCAAAAAAAAAAAAAAAAAGAAAAAAAAAGAAAAGGTTGCACAGCCGGCAGTGTAGGCACAGCCTACACTATTAGCTACAGAAATTCTTCCATTAATAAGTAAATTACGAGTTTACCCCTTGACATCAATTTTAAAAAATATATTTTTAGGGACAAATTTGTTATTTTAATTTCAAACATCATTTCAACACATTTTTCAATACAACAAAACAAATAAAATCCATCTCATCTTCCCAAACACAAAAACTAAAATAGCCAACCAAAATAGCCAAAAAGCCAAATAGCCTACTAAAATAGCCACTTCCCAAACGAGGCCTTAATGCAACATCCATTTTCTTGAACCCAAGCTCTAATTCATGCTTAATTTCTCCTTAAACTCCATGAATCATGTAGGCGAACAAGTATAGCATCAAAAATATACCATGCATGTAAAGATTAGGAGTTAATTTGAACAATTCTACCCATTTGCAAACATGCATGTCCTAAACTCTTAATTACATGAGCAAATCTTCTAATTAATTATAAATTCAACTCAACTAAGCTTATGATCTTCATTTCATTTTATGAATTAGGAGATGAAAATTACCGTAGTTTGATGATTTAATGCATATGAATTAATCCCATTCTTTCTTCTTCCTTCAGTTCTTCTTGAGCTCAAGCTCTATGCCTATTTCTTTCCTCACTCTCTCTCTCTTCGTGGGTCTTGTTTGGTATATGAAATGAAAGACTCAATATAATATATAACTCACTATAATAAGCAACAAAACACACTCTCTCTTCCTATGTCACAAACTGAGTAGTGGTCTACATGGTTCACTCTTTCTTTCCTGTGTCACAAACTCAGTAGTGGTCTATATGGTTATTGTCATTACTAATTTATTCTAATTAAGTTAAATAAAAATTAAAGCTACACAAATTAAATTAATTTGCATCACAGTAAAATTTCAATTATACGAAATTAAATTATACTAATGTGTATTAAGCTCTAATTCCTATGCAATTATTTAATTCCAACCTATTACAATTAGCGAATCGGCGAAATCAGTTTTCAATTAAATGTCCCAAATCGCTCTAAAAAATTTCATTAGCATATGTACTCAATTTCGGCTTCTAAACTCATTATGGTTGTCAATTTCAATCCCGAATTTGTGGCCTCATCAGATATTTTCAAATTAATTTGTATTATCGCATAATTAAATAAAGATAATTGTGACATGCATTTTGGGGTCGTTACACATCTCTAACCCCAAAATGATAATATTGGTATGATATCATCTGTTGATGGGTAAATTGATCTTACCTGACCTAACAACTGTTTTGAGGAAAAGAAATAGTTTTTTTCAAATGGGATGAACAGATCATTGAATTAAGTTTTGAAAACTCATCACAATGGGTTCAAATGCTCTATGTAACACATTTGAATAATATATTTGTTTTTTTGACTTTCAAATGATCTGTTGATATATGGATCTCTCTGTTTTGCTTTTAGTAGCATTTAAATTAAGCATATTTATTATAGATTTTCATGCTGTTTGTGTACATTAACTTTGTAGATTGCAAATAATGCAGGGAAAACAAAGATGAATGATTTCAAATATTCAATGGATTCAAAGCATGTCCCAGTGGATGACAAAACATATGACTCAGTCTTTATCTAATAGAACTACCTCTGTTATTCTGATTCTTTTGGGGCACATCAGATGAAATGGCTTTGTATTGTTTTGAATTATGTTCAGTGGAAATATCATTTTTAGGAGTAAAATGATTATGGAGTATAAAAATTTTGTTTTTATTATATATTTTTTGCTTCATCTTATAATGTTTCTTGCAACTGGCATTTTAAGCTCTTTAACTCTATATTGTTGTTTAGTAACCCAGTATTTTGATTACATAAAACATGAAATAAGTGTTTTTTTTTTTATTTTGTTCTTTTCAAAAAAACAGAAACAAAATCTTATTTCTTGTACATAAATGTTTTGAAAACTAATATAAAGAAACATGTTTGGTGAGTTATCAGATACTCGCTAGAGGTGACAAGAAGGTAATTGAAAACTTACCAGTGGTTGGAGGTTGGCCATTTGGCAGTCCACAATTGACACTAGCCGAAGGAAGTAGGGTTGAGTATGGTTGGCAGGAGTAAATCAAGGATTAGACTATTACTTATAGTTTTATGAAATTTGAAATCAAATCAAATAATGAAATTTGTGTTATCAAACCGTTTGAGTAATGCTATAAATATTAATTTGTGTATCAATAAATACATTAACTAAATATAATATTATGTAAGATGTTAGGAAAATGTTTTGACTCTGTTTGGTTTAGATTTTAAAATATAATTCTACTACTGATTTGAGTGGTATTTGGTTGGAGCTTTCAAATTATAATTCTACACTCATTTTTTAAAACTCATTTTAAATTATAATTATTATTTTTTAAAACTCATAATTAAACACACAACTCCAAACTCAAAAACAACTTAATTTTTATTTTAAATATTTTATTTTATTTTATAGGAATATTTTTAATATTTTACTTTTCATAAAAATATTTTAATATTTTGATTTTTCATAATATTTTTAATATTCTTAATATTTTAATTTTCGGAAAATTTTAATATTTTAATTTTCTAAATATTTTTAATATTTTAATTTTCAAAATAATTTTAAAATATTTTTAATGTTTAGACCGGCCTAAAAAACGAATTGATAGAAAAATTAATTGACATAGAAGTTATTTGAAAAAAAAAATTATTCAAAAAAATTACTTAAAAACAATTAATTGAAAAAAAATTATTTTTTTATTTGAGTATTTTAAAAATAGTTTGGTTATGACTGTTGATTAAAAATACGGATATCATGTTATGAGTTGTGTATTTGATTATCAATTATAGGTTAAATTAAGTTTTGAAAACTCATTACCAAATAAATTTTCTTATTTCACATGTCATATTAAACTTTCAAAACTCAATTCTACATACAATTTAAAACTCAATTCAACACTCTATTCAAAAATCATAACCAAACAAATTTTTTACACTTAAATCATAATTTCACAATTCACAAACTTAAAATACAACTCATACTCTCAAATCATATTTACAAAACTCTACCAAACGCAACCCAAATCTCTCATATGGGTGTGGGGTTCACACATATGTGATTCGTGTGAGTCGCACACTCGTGTGAGTTTCACACTCATGCGAGAGGTTTGGTAATTTGTTTAGAAATTTATTTGGAGTTCTAGCATAACCCAAGATGTTAAGTAATGAAATTTACATGTATGTTTTGTAGTGTGTCAGTTGGTATACTAATTAGTATTTTTAACATTACTTAAAATATTTTGGTTAGGTTTGAAACTGTCATTCTTAAAAATTTATGATCACTCATAGAGTCCTAATATGATCATAAAATATAATTCATAATTTATGAATTGTGAAATTAAAATTTATAATTTACATATGTATCTATAATTAAAATACTGGAGACCCAAAAATGTTCCATAATTATACTAATAATACATTTGAGTGTTTATAGTAGGTAAACAGTCCAATATAGTTGTAAATTGAGCCTCCGTGTGGATATTAGTTTGGGCTAAAATAATTGCATAGGACAAAGTAAACTATATCATATAAGATAAATGTCATATTTAAATTATAATTATTTTATTATTTTTTTAAAAAAATAAAAAAAACTTAAAAATTTATTCAAAACAAGATTTTTTAATCACAAATTAAAAAAAACTCATATCCTGGACGAATCTTAAATTTCTAACTAGTAATCACATTTTATATTAAAAGTATGATTAAACTTATATTTAATTGTATATTAAAAAAATCAAATCAAATTGTAGATGTGATCGGGGTCGGATCAGATTGAATTGCACGTTAAAATAATCGAATCAAATTGTGCGATTTGATTGGAATCGGATTCGATTTGCAACTATTTTTTTTAGGGAAAGTAACCTAACCGCCCCTTTTTTTTCATTTTCGGTTTCAAAATCTATTTGATGATTACAGAGCGGTTGAGTTTCGCGGTTGACTGTCTTTAAAATTTTGGGCAAATTACATATACACCCCTCCAGGTTTGGCTAAATTACAGATACCCCTTGAGGTTTCGGAAATTACATCCCGCCCCCTGAGGTTTGTATTTTCATAACAATTTACCCCCTGAGGTTTATATTTCATAACAAATTACCCCCTAATTTCTTATGCAAATATAACATTCAGGGGGGAATTCGTAATTTCTCAAACCTCAGGGAGGTATCTGTAATTTTGTCAAACCTGGAGGGGTGTATATGTAATTTGCCCTAAAATTTTCATATTTGATAGTATTCTATTCTGGCCAATACAATACCAGGACACGTATCCAAAGCCCCAATGTTTGAGAGCTGAACTCAAGCCCTAGACGAAGAAGAAGAAGAGAAAGCAATCAAGTCGATTCAAACACTGTTTTACAAGAGATCTTCTTTCTCATATCGATGTCGGACTTTTTTCCAGACGAAATTGTGGTTGAAATCCTCCAGACTACCCACCAAATCCCTAATCCAATTCAGGTCTGTTTCCAAATCCTGGTACTCTCTCATCACTAGCCCTAATTTCATCAATACCCACCTCAATCACTCACTCACTTCCAATACCTACCTAAACAGTTATGATAACCTCCCACTCATGATAGTTAGGCAATGTGTTTCTACTTCGGATCCCAGAACAGAGCACTACAAACTATTTCTTGATTCTCAAGACTCATTTGATGAATATAAAGAACTTGAACTCCTAATTAAGAGTCGTCTCTTTTTTTTCGCAATTGGGTCTGTGAAAGGTATGTTTTGCCTTCACGAACAGGATGGTATTTTCTTTGGAACCCATCGATTAGAAAGTCCATGGCTATGCCCAAGCCTACTCTCAAGACCTCTGTTAGATATTTAATGTAAAGAGAAAGAGAGAGAATCAATTATGTATATATTGATGTTGTATATTACATATTTGAATAGGTACACGCATCCCTTTATATAAGAGAGAAGATGCTAAGCTACAAACATGATGCAAACACCATTATGGGAAAGTAGCCGAAAGGAACCGAAAGCAAATGCACTATTTGTACTATCTAATACATATTATAACCACACCACCAACCACAACCACCACAAACACTGATCGTACTTTTTCGCCTCTTCTGCTGCTCTCTTCCTCTTGCGTCTATCTTGGGCGTCCCTTGACAGCCCTGCCTCCGTGCTTTCAATCCACCGAGCACGTTGCCTCCCTACTGTTCCTCAAACGCAGCATATGGCGGATCTCCAGATCGGAACATGACAGTGGCCTTTTGCTTTTAGCTCTTTGTTTTCCGCCTTCAATGCGCATGTCTCTGCTCGCGCATCCTTATACATGCGCTGGAGTAGAGTGAGTTGGGTATTTAACTGGTGCATCTCACTAGTTCTATTCTGCAGTCGGTGCGACAACTTGGAGACTGCAGTCACTATCTCCAAGCACAACTTCAGTGTAAAATAGTTGGCTTCAATGTTCGTTTGCATTGCCATTATTTGCTCCACTAACAATATCGGAAAGTTCAACGCAGCAAGGACAGTTGCACTCGGTCCAGGGGCGTTTGGTTGCGTTTCAAGGCGACAGAATTGGTTATCTCTATTGTGGACTCATTCAGGTTTGGAAAAAGGGTGAGTGGACCACGGGAAGAAGAGACCATGTCATGTTAGGGGTTGCAGAGTGTTTTAGAGAAGCAGAGTGTTTCAGAGAATGTCAGAAAGGGTTTGTAGCTATCAGAGAATGAAGAGATTTTTGAATGGTTTGTTTTGCACTACCTCTATCCAGCCTCAACCTCGATTTAAATAGCGAGCGAAGTGACGAAGACGACAAATGGGAGTGAGAGCCACGTGAATCGCGCGACACTCGAAGCCACAGTGTTATGCGCGACTTTTGAGGGCGCTATATATATATATATGTATATATTTGGGCTGCTTATATACATGACCACATTGTATTCTCCAACAATCTGACACGACCACACAGTGTTTGCTACAAATGGTCTGACACGACCTCACAGTGTCTTCTACAGCGGTCTAACACGACCACACATTGTCTTCTACAACGGTTCGACACGACTATACAGTGTCTTTTATAACGGTACAACACGACCACATAGTGTCTTCTACAATGGTTCGACACGACCATACAGTGTCTTTTACAACGGTTCGACACGACCATACAGTGTTTTCTACAGCGGTTTGACACATTCTTACAGTGTCTTCTACACTGGTCTGACATGAACCATACAGTGTCTTCAACACCGGTTTGCCACAATCATACAGTCTCTTCTACAATGGTCTGACACGGCCACACAGTATCTGCTACAACGGTGTAACATGACCATACAGTGTCTTCTCCAACGGTTTGACACAATCATACCGTGTCTTTTACAACGGTCTGACACGACCATATAGTGTCTTCTATTCTATTTTTATTTATTTTTCCGTTTTGTTACTCTCTCCAAACTCAAGTTGGTTGGTATATATCCTCCTTGAGTTTGAGGGGAGCTGTTAATGTATATTATATAATGTAGTACAGCATTAGTATTAAAATATGTATTAGATAGTGCAGATAGTGCATTTGCTTTTGGTTCTTTTCGGCTACTTTCTCATGATGGTGTTTGCATCATGTTTGTAGAATAACATCTTCTCTCTTATATAAAGGAGTGTGTGTACCTATTCAAATATGTAATATAGAAGACACTATATGGCTCGTGTTGAACCGTTGTAGAAGACATTGTATGGTCGTGTCGAATCGTTGTAGAATACACTGTATGGTCGTGTCGAATCGTTGTAGAAGACACTGTATGGTCGTATCGAACCGTTGTAGAAGACACTGTGTGGTTGTGTCAAACTGCTATAGAAGACACTGTGAGGTCGTGTCATACCATTTGTAGCAGACATTGTGTAGTCGTGTCGGACCGTTGGAGAATACATTGTATGGTTGTGTATATAAGCAGCCCAAATATATACATGTATATATATATCGCGCCCTCAAAAGTTGCGCCCTCAAAAGTTGCTCCTAATACATCAAAAGTCGCGCATGACACTGTGGCTTCGAGTGTCGCGTGATTCACGTGGCTCTCGCTCCCGTTTGTCGTCTTCGTCTCTTTGTTCGCTATTTAAATCGAGGCTGAGGCTGGATAGAGGTAATGTAAAACAAACCATTCTGAAATCTCTTCATTCTTTGATAGCTGCAAACTCTTTCTGACATTCACTAAAACACTCTGCTTCTCTAAAACACTTTGCAACCCCTAAAACAACATGGCCTTTTCTTCTTGTGGACCACTCACCCTTTTTCCAGACCTGAATGAGTCCGCAATAGAGATAACCGGCTTTGTCACTCTTGAAGCGCAACCAAGTGCCCCTGGTCCGAGTGCAGCTGCCTTTGCTCCGTTGAACTTTTAGATACTGTCAGTGGAGCAAATAATGGCAGTGCAAATGAACATTGAAGCCAACTATTTTACGCTGAAGTCGTGCTTGGAGACAGTGACTGCGGTCTCAATGTTATCGCATCGGCTACAGAATAGAACTAGTGAGGTGCATCAATTAAATGCCCAACTCGCTCTGCTCCAGCGCATGTATAAGGATGCGCGAGAAGAGATATGTGCATTGAAGGCGGAAAACAAGGAGCTAAAATGGAAGGCTACTGTCATGTTCCGATTTAGAGGTCCGCCATATGCTATGTTTGAGGAGTAGTGGGGAGGCAACGCGCTTGGTGGACTAGGAAGCACGGAGGCAAGGTTGTCAAGGGACGTCCAAAGCGGAGGCAAGAGGAAGAGAGCAGTGGAAGAGGCGAAAAAGTAAGGTCGGTGGTTGTGGTTGGTGGTGTTTTTTTTTTGTTGTGTTGTTTTGGTTTTTGTGTGGAATGAAATAAAATAAAGATTTGAAAAATCAGAGGTGGTTTGAATCTATGGACTGGTATGTTGATATAATATATTATAATAAAAAAATATGTATATACGTATAGAAAATAAAAGAAAGTTGAAGAGAGTGGGAATATGCTGGAAAAGGGGCTTATCAACAGAGCTTTATAATAATGAAAATAAAGGTGAGGTAGTGGATGTGCTTGGGAACTGCCTGTGAAAGAGCAAAGAGTCTCTCATCCACCGCCTAGACCACTATTTTACTAATGAAAATAAAGGTGAGGTAGTGGAAGAGTGGGTGAAAAATGAGAGAGAGAGAGAGAGAGAGAGAGAGAGAGAGAGAGAATGAGTTGTGGGATTAGGAGAGTGTCAGTCCATTGAGGAAAAAATAAAAAAGAAAGGTGTTGATGGGAGAGGAAAGTGGACCTCTCTCTTGGTGGGACTATTAAAAAAATAGCAAGATGTATTGTATTAATAAAAGAAGGCATGGGTGGGTGGAAATAAAATAAAATAAAATACGATGATATTGGTTTCCACTGAGATCAAACCACCAAATGGAGTTTGCACCATGCTGCATTGGCCTAACTTGAGATATACTAGCATATCCAACAGGAGATTGAGGAAAGGGCTGTGATTGTGCCCCATGGCTTGGCATCATTGGTCTTGTAGCATAATTCTGAGGCTAGTGAGTTTGCAATCCATGTGAATGCGCAATATTTTGTTGTGACAACATATTGTCTTGAGAAGTTTGTTGTTTCGTGTGAGAAAGGCCCTGAGAGCGTAACTGAGACTACATAGGCTGCTGCTGTATGAAATGGCCATGTGGATGTAATTGATTCTGGACAGGACCCAATGTTCGCCCTGGAAATGGTTGCTGATGTTGAAAATATTGTTGAGACACTGGTTGTTGCATTGGCTGCAAAATAGGACGCTGGAGACCAGGATGACCAGGTTGCTAAGCATGAGGATGAACCAGATGCTGTTGTGCTGGTGGGATGCTTGGAACCTAACCCTGTGAAGACAACAAAACAGGGTGTTGTTGTTTTGGCACTTGAACATGTGTTTGTAGCTGAGCTTGCAGATGACGTTGTGGCTGCAATTGTGGAAGAGGGTAATTCAAGGTGAAGAAGAAGACGAGGACTAGGGGTACTAAGAGAGTGACTCGGAAGAGGAGTTTAGAGGAAACTGCTAAGAGCTTTGTGCTGTTTACTCTTCTCATGTAGCTGTTGTAGCATTCGAGCTTTGAGGTCTTGTTGGTGTTTGGAGGAGACGCCATTAGATTAGACTATGATGTAGTAATTGAGAGAGAGAGAGAGATAGAGTTCAGAGTTCTCTTCTTGCAGAGTTAGCGTTGTGGAGAGTGGAAGGTATGTGTAGAAAATTCCAACGGGCAGCAAAGGCAAAGTTGTCGGCCGGCTGCCCGCCGGTGAGAAAGAAATACAGGCCTAAATCTTATAGCTCTGATACCATGTTAGATATTTAATGTATAGAGAAAGATAGAGAATCAATTATGTATATATTGATGTTGTATATTACATATTTGATTAGGTACACACACTCTTTTATATATGAGAGAAGATACTATCCTACAAACATGATGCAAACACCATCATGGGAAAGTAGCCGAAAGGAACCGAAAGCAAATGCACT